GGGGCTTGAGAAAGAAAGGTCAGGGAGAGGAGGGGCATATAACTGGAGAAAAGAAAAAAACAAAACAAGTGAAAGTTAAAAAGAAAAAAAATCTACAGAAGCAAATCCCCTGAATTCCATTGGCTGTGTGAGTTGCTGTGGTTCTGTTACAGTCTGAGTGCCCGCCCTGCCCCATTTCCTGCCTTTTTCCCCACTCTGGAAACTATGACATTTGTTATGGGGGGGTGGGAGGAGAACAGGGGAACAGGGGAGGAGGCAGGGAGACGGGCACTAGGGTAAAAGGGAAGGGAGGGTTTATTGTAAACGAGAGGCCTGCACATCCTTGCACGTCAATGGCAAAAAAAAACCTGCTAAAAGTGGGGAAAAAAGAAAACAATGACATAAAACTTTAAAAACCTTAAAATCAGATTCTTGAAGTTATGCACACATAAAAGGTATATTGAATTTTCTATCAAAGACTAGTTGGAACCGCCAACTTCCGTTGATCAAATCAACCACAACAACTGTAAACAAAGCCTTAGTTCAAAATACAGGCAATAATGATCTAAAAGCCTGTGATGAAATCTACTTTCTGTTCAATAGCGCTGAAAAGAATATTGAAAAGAAACTGAGAAAACCGGTAAATGAGTTACCAAGAGTCAGTAATTCATCACCAGGTTTTAAAACTAAAAGATAATCTATTCGCTGAACCTGCCACCAACCATATATGGTCAGCTGCACGGCTTCCTGTAGGTGAAACATAAAACAAAACAATGTCATGGCAACTGTTGGGACGGCTGGAGGCCACCAGTTGCTGTTAGGAATTGCTGATGATCTGCAACCCCACGGTCACAACTGCTCGGTGTTGTCTTTACATGTTTCTGACACCACAACGAGCACAGCAAGGCAGCCTTTGTACCCTGCCCCCTACTGCATACCCGGGGATGGGCAAGATATTTTTGGGGTTGGTCCTGATCCATACAAGTAAAAAAATATTTAACAATTTTTTTAAGTAAGCTGTGAAACTGTGCTCTCAAAACTCTCATTCAAGCTGCGACCCAAACATTAAGAGAATGCTTAAAATAAATGGCGTCTTTTGACTCTTTACACACAAACTGCTGCTGTGTGATTACACACTAAGCACATGAATGGACAGAATAAAATAAGTCTACATGCCACAAAAAATGTAACCTGTATAGACACGTTTCAATCCATAAACAATGAACTAGCAGCCATATTCTATTTCTGTCACATGGTTTACATAAACAACAACATCCTCCTCCCCCAAATTAAGTCCCTTAAGGGGGATTTTTTTTTTTGTTAACACAAACATCTTTTGGTGTTCCAACCCCAAATCCTAGTTTAGATGACGGGACAAGGTGGTGGGAAAAAAAGGTCTCATGTTTGTCTGGGAATCATCACAGACAAACTATAACACATCATTTCTTCTGCAAATGACCAGGTACTGCAGCCAAGAAGAACAATGTCTTTCAAATGCGATCCATTACTTTCCATCTTTTGCTCAAG